GGACCAGCGGCTTCGCCGCCCCGCCCCGCCGCTCCTCCCTAGCGACGGTCGCCAGGCAACGCCGCTCCTCCTTAGCGACGGTCGCCAGGCAGTGCAAGGGCCGGCGGCGCGGGAACCGAGCCCGCTGCTCCGTCGTGCCCGCTCTCCGGCTCTCGCCAAGGCCCCGGGGGGGCCCGTGCCGCCCCCCGCCCGGGCACGGGGCGATGTACCCGCTCTGCACCTCGGGGTGCTGGAGTCACACCCGGGTACCGCTGCGCCCGGTCCTGGCTGAGATGCTGTGGGCGCACGGTCAGCGCGTGGCGAGGGATGCCGAGCCGGCAGGGCGAGGCTGGCGAGGCGACGACAGGCGGGGAGCCGGGATGGAGCAGCGGCCACGGCGCTGTGCGACTCGGCACCCCAGCACCGCTGCCTGCGGGTCACCGTGTTTGGTCCAGCCCCGGGGGCGGGGGCCAGGTTGCAGAGCTGGGGTGCTGCCAGCTCCACGCAGGGGGATGTGGCCGTCGGCAGAGCCAGAGGGCAGGGGAGAGGTGGGGCCGGAGGCAGGCAGCGGTGCCGTTTCTCATGATTCGCGAGCAGGAGGAAGGCAGCCGCATTGCGTCATTCCTGGAGAGTGCTCCCGAGGGGACAGGCTGATGCGCTCACTCCTCGCCATCCCCTGGAACCGACAGCCGCGCCGCTGACAGCTCTTAGTCAGGACCCTCCACCCCCCAAGACGCATCCCAGCTGTTGGCCTCGGGGCTTGTCCGAGGCTGCCGCCAGCCCTTCAGCCCACACTGCAATCCCTCCGCCCTCGCCAGCCCTCCTCCTCCTGCCCTTGAGGACCTGCGAGCTGAGCCAACTGAGCCTTGCCGGCACAGCCAGCCAGAGCCCGGGCAGTAACAGGCCTCTCTGCCCCCCTGTCCTGCAGCCCCATGGCCAGGAGCACTGAGATGGCGTCCCTGGAAGAGAGCTTCCGCAAATTCGCCATCTACGGCGACACCAAGGCTACGGGACAAGAAATGAATGGGAAGAACTGGGCCAAGCTGTGCAAAGACTGCAAAGTCACCGATGGCAAAAGCGTCACCAGCACCGACGTGGATATTGTCTTCTCCAAGGTGAAGTAAGTGACTTGGTTTTTCAGGGCCTCCAATAGCCCGGAGGGTGGGGATGCCCTTGCAGTGCAGGCAGGGTGGCGGTGCCTGGGTGCAGTGGTCCCCAGGGGGGTGTCGTACCCTGACTCTGTTCCATTCCCGTGTTGTACTTGGCATGGAGCAGCAGGTGCTGCCTTCAGGGAGTTTGTGTGGCTGCTTTTGCAAGACCTAATAATAAATTAGTCCAAATTTGGGGGGTTGGAAGGCTCAGATTTTGATGCAGAGGCTCTGCCTCTGCTCCTGCTCCCAGGCATTGGGGTGGGCCTGGCCGATTCTGCCAGGTTCCCATCTAGCAAGAAGGTGCCACAGGGAGCAGAGGAGGGTGCTCAGGGGTGTCCCGTGTGATGTGGCACGGCCCATCCCTGGGCCCGGCGAGCCCACACCTGAGCTTGGGGAGGACTCTGGTCCTTGGAGGTCACAGAGGCAGCTGAAGAGCTAAAGGCACCTGGGGCTGCTTTTGGGGTCCCTGAGGACACGGTGACACCCAATGTTCCACACCAGGGTGCAGGAGCAAGGATGGGTGGAGAACCTGCTCCCTCCATGCCCTCTGTCCAGGCATGCCCTTGCTCCCTGGTGGGGCCAGGAAGGTCTGAGCACTGGGAGGTTTTTGGCATGTGGAAGGGTGGGTTGGTGTGCTGCCCTGGAGATGAGGACCAGGCACTCGTGGGAGAGGTGCTCAGTGCATGTCCTTCCGAATTTGACCAGAGAAGGACAGATGCCTGCCAGGGGAGAGAGGGCGCCAGGCATCCCAGGCAGGCTGGGAGCAGTGGGAATGGATGCGTGTCCCCTCCTGCCACCAGCGCCCAAGTCCCAGGGCACTTGCATGCAGGGGAGAGGTTTTTGGCACCAGGGACTTTAACAGCATGTGGCTGAAAAGCTCCTGGAGCTCAGCACCAGTTGTGTCCAGCCCGACCCATTTGGCTGGGATTTCCCTCGCTGTAGCTGCATTTTGGAGGTGGGCGAGGGGCCCGAGGCTGGTGGAGGACAAAGCCAGGGTCTCCCTGATGCACCTCAACCTGCTGCAGCCCCATTTGGAGGTGCAACCTGAAGACGTGCTGACGGCAGCCTGGGTTTTGTGCTTGCAGAGGGAAGACGGCCCGCGTCATCAACTACGAGGAGTTCAAGAAGGCGCTGGAGGAGCTGGCCCCCAAGAGATTTAAGGACAAGAGCAAAGAGGAGGCATATGAAGCCATCTGCCAGCTGGTGGCAGGGAAGGAGCCCATTAACGTGGGTGTCACGGTGAGTGAAGAACCCCTTGGCCACTGGGAGCAGGAGGGATGCTCAGGAGGGGAAGATGGAGCCCTGCCCACAGTACAAATGCTTTCCTGGGGACCCCATGGCCCTGGGTGGCCCTGGAAGTTACATAGATCTGGTGGGCACGGGGAGCACAGCAGGGTCTTCAGGGGGTGTTAGGGGCTTGCACGGGGCAAGGGGTGAAGGGGATGGGGCATATTCTTGACTCCCGTGTCCCATCTCCCCGCTGCAGAAAGCCAAGACGGTGGGGGCCGTGGAGAGGCTGACGGACACCTCCAAGTACACGGGCTCCCACAAGGAGCGCTTTGACGAGAGCGGCAAGGGCAAGGGCAAGAGCGGGCGGGAGAACATCGTGGACACCAGTGGCTACGTCAGTGCCTACAAGAACGCGGGCACCTACGACGCCAAAGTGAAAAAGTAGGGATGGGTGCCCATGGCACGCACCACCCCGGTCCCTGCGCGTCGGCCATGGGGCCAGCGCTCACGTCAGCCTTGGGTCATGCCCGCACGATGTGGGGCCAGGCAGGCTGCGCTGGGGCCAGCCCCAGGCTGGCAAGATGTCGGCCGCCCAGCGCTGATGTGATTGGGAAAGTCGCCGGGCCGCGTGCTCTGCCCCAGCGCTACGTCTGTCCCCCTCTCTGTGCTGTGACCCCCCCCCCGCCCTTCCTGT